GCATGTGTATGCGCACGGGGGAGCGCCGGAAACCATAAGAGCAGCTCCCTGATGCACACACATGGAAGCACCGGAAACCAGAAGAGCAGTTCCCCAGCATGCTGTTCCGGTTTCCGGCGCTCCCGCACACGCAAAGACCAGGTGGCCAGCTGGCGTACCCAGAGAGATGGCTCTGTGTGCCACTTCCAGCACATGTGCCATAGGTTCCCCATCACTGAACTGTACCATGAGCTACATACACCATGTGGACCATTACAACACTTTAGTATTTAGTACAGACCAAACTGGACTATAAGAAAGATCAAATGAAGAGTAGGGAAACAGAATAATCTCTTTCTCCAGCGCAATTAGGTTGATGATTTCTAAATTAAAAATAGTTCTGCCTTGGGAAAGATAACCGACACATCTGTGCATTAGAATTCACTAGAGAATGAGTTCTTGTTTTATGCGCGGCATCTCAGCCAAGAACGTTCATCTGCCAAGCATAACAACTACACATTTTAATTCATTGATGCCTTTTTGTTTTTCAATTTACGATGGTGGCTAGTTAACATGATTGTTCCCCAGGTAAAGTCAGATGATGGAGTGTTCTGCAAAAGAAACCTAGTCTGCGTTCAGACAACGCATTTAAGCAGCTCCATGAAAAGGTTTAGCTGTTGCATTCAGGCAACGCACTAAGCTTGATTAATATTAACTCAGATTAGAGAAGGTTCTTTGGATTTGCTGGCACTAAGTGAGATGATCCTACACCAAACTGGCCATTTGGCTTTTCCTGGTCACCCTCATCCAAATGGGTGCTTTCTGTCCAGGCATACATATGCGCAGAAGACCATCAGAAGCTGGGGATCCAGCAGTCATTGTGATGTAGCCGAGAGATATGGAACCACATTTTTTTAAAATCCCGATTTGTTTTGTAGAGCTGCATCAGTGGAGCCCTTCAATGGAGCCTTGATTCAACTGAATCAACCAGTGGTGGTATTCACATACCTTCGCTACCAGTTCGCAAATGCGAGCGCGCTCAAGCGTACCACTTCTGCACATGTGCAGAGCCTTATGCGCATGCGCGCAGAGCATCAAAAATGGGACATGATGATGTCTGGGCGGATGGGCAGAGCCTCCCGCAGCTACTGCTACCGGATAGAACCGGCTGAATAGCACCACTGGAATCAACCCTTTAGGGCCTCACACAGGCCAGCCCAAAGAACACACCAAGGCAACAAACATCCGCTGGAATCTTAATGACATTCACTTTGGGATTGATGCCCTTCTAACATCTGCTTTCTAGGATGTTGGTCTCACATTAAAAGAACCAACTATCTTGTTAGTATTTGGAAAGTCTTAAAAAAACCCACCCCTTTTTAAAAACAAATTGATGCTTTTAGTTTAAAATGTTATTTTAGTACTTTCCCCCTTATTATTTTATTTCTATCGCAAGCATGGGATGTTGGTAGTTGGCAATATCATAATTTAAATTGCAATCTTAAGATATATTCTAGACTGGACAAATGCTGTAAATACTTTGATATTAATTGTACCACTAATACAATGGAAACAATTAAAAACTATTTCAGTAACGTTGTTGGTTGAAATACTTGTTCTCCACTCAAGCTTCTAAGGGACAACAATGTGAGTGATCTTTTTTTATTATTAATTTGCAAGCAAAAAGTGCAGCTTTTTAAAAGGGTTGGGGAAAATGGAGCCGATGTTTACTTAGACATTTTCTAGGCTTTAATGACACTGACTGAAAAAGCTACCTATAGGTTTTGTTACCTGTAGAAACAAGAAATTAATGTAATTTTACAGTAGGATTTTAATACACCATTATTAAAAAGACATGCCCCTCTATTGCAATTGCACAAACCCTGTATTGTACGCACAGAAGACCTAGTTTATGGAGCTATAAGATCATAATATCTATTTGTGAACATAAGTGCGCAAACATTGACTAACATTTATGTTGGTTTACGAAGTTTACAGAGGAGAAGCGCAATTGTATACATGCCCAATCAGAAGTAAATCTTCCAGATAAGAGTGCCTGGAGTTGCAGGATATCTCATTGATCTGAAGTGGATCAATTCCATTGAGCATGTGGTTAGGCTGAAATAATATTTGTGTGTATAGATTGGTGTGCTGTCCATTTTTGGCTTCATAATTGCTAACAGAGAGCAATTCTTTTAAAACAGTACAAGAATCCTCTTTCATCTAAGAAGCAGGAGGGGATGTTGAGGCAGAAAAGGGAGCGGCAGCATGGAAAAAGTAGCTCCAAATAACTCCACAGTCATGGTCAAGCTAGGTAAATTATCACCAAACGGCATATCGCATCACCACAAGGAAAAAGGACTGCACTTCAGTTATGTGTCGTACATCAAAGATTGGAATTTAAGAGAATCAATGATTTAATCCCTTCTCTGTGAAATGAAGAGACTTGAAATGAGATGTTCCATAGCCGATTGGTGACAAGCTAGTTATCCAGGGACTGGCTTTCTTTTGAGCTTATCACGTAGATTGAGATGAAGTTGTTCCAGGGGCTAATTTATTTAGCAAGGTTTTTTAAAAAAATCCTAAAGAAGTGAAGGGATTATTTCCATTTGGCTACCAAGGGTGGAATTGTCTAAAAAGTAAAAAGAGAACATGCAACGATGCAATCACACGTCAGTTAGAGTACAGGTAGCCCTCGGCCTATGACCACAATTGAGCCCAGAATTTATGTTGCTAAGAGAGAAATTTGTTAAGTGAGTTTTGCCCCATTTTACAACTTTTCTTGCCACGTTTGTTAAGTGGATCACTGCAATTGTTCACGGTTGTTCAATGAATCTGGCTTCCCCCATTGACTTTGCTTGCCAGAAATTTGCAAAAGGTGATCACATGACTCTGGGATACTGCAACCATCATAAATATGTACCAGTTGTCACGCATCCGAATGTAAATCATGTGACCATGGGGATGCTGCAATGGTCACAAGTGTGAAAAATGGTCATAAGCCCCTTTTTTTCAGTGCCGTTGTAACTTTGAACAGTCACAAATCGAGAACTACCTGTACTCTCTGGAAGCTGGCCTTAAATTGGCCGTATGAGCCAGGGTGGCGCAGTGGTTAGAATGCAGTACTGCAGGCTGACTCTGCTCACATTGGCAGGAGTTTGATTCCTTCAATCCTGACCAGCACAAGGTTGACTCAGCCTACCATCCTTCCGAGGTTGATAAAATGAGGACCCAGATTGTTGAAGGCAATATGCTGACCCTGTAAACCGCTTAAAGGGGGCAGTAAAGCATGCTGAAGTGATATATAAGTCTGAGTGCTATTGCTATTAAGTGCAGAGTGGAAACAGGATCAACAGGGTGACACCTATGTTGAGGTTGATTCGCTGGTGGGCTTTTGGATCCAATTTGAGATGCCCGTAACCCTAAACAGCTTGGCATCTCTGAACTTGCAGGATTGGCTCTCCTGACCAGAATCTGCCAACCTCCCAAGAGGGTTTATCAAGATCCCATCCCTGATGAGATCAAGGGAGAGGGAGCACAGAGATATACAGTACGGACTTTCCTGGAGGTGGTCCCCATATATTGGAGTACCTTACTACAGATTGATGCAGTTGTGAAGAACAGCGGATGTACTAGTTTTGGGTTAACTACTATGATCACTTTTCATTTTATTTCAGTTCTTGTTTTCTGGCATACTACAAAAGTTGCAGACTCTGCTGTCTAAAAGAGATTGCTTTCTAGATTGTTGTAAGATAGAAGAAGGCCCTTACCCAATCTTGCATACCACCACTTGCTTCAAATGATAATTGGGCCAGCAATTTTAAACTTCCTTAAATATACATGTTTCTCCATTATTATTGATCCAAAACATACTTAGTCCACAAAAAAAATAAGTCCCATGTTTTGGAATACTTATGCCATTGTACATCCTCCAAATCTTCAAGAGGTATATGAATCACTTTTTGTGCCTTTGGACAAGCATCTTCACTGACAAAACTCCACTTTGCACTTGTGAGCGAGTTTCAGGATTGTGCTTCAAAGAGAACACGAGCGCCCGCACGGTCCTGCGGTAGGACGTGTTAATGAGATGGGAAGAGAGGTAAAAAGCTTCTTGCTCAATATTTTCTGCCAGCAGGTGACCAATCTGAAAACAGAAAGTAAGTAAGAAATGAGATCCTTATATTTAATAAGGAGACTAAGCATTTGCAAGGGAGGTGGTTTCTTAATCAGCTCAAACAAGGAAATTCACATCACAAGTTAAACAGGAAGAGCAATTTCATTTCACTGCAGCAATTAAAGAATAAGGCTGTGTGGTCAGTCCTGTTTTGTTTTTCTCAGTCCAACAGGAAAGTAATCGAGGGAGAGGGAGAGGGAGGAGGAGAGAAGGAGAAGAGGAGGAGGAGGAGAGAGGAGGAGACGGAGAAGAATAAGAAGAGAAGAGGAGAAGGGGAGGGGAAGGGGAGCGGGAGGGAGAGGGGGAGGGAAGAGGAGAGAAGGAGAAGGAGAAGAGAAGAAAAAGAAGAGGAGGAGGAGGAGGAGGAGGAGGAGAGAGGAGGAGGAGGAGGAGGAGGAGAAAAGACGAGGAGAGGAGGGGGAGAAGAAAGAAGAAGAGGATGAAGAGGAAGAGGAGGGGAGAGGGAGGGAGAGGGAGAAGGAGGAGAAGGAGGAGGAGAAGAGGAGGAGGAGGAGGAGGAGGAGGAGATTTTTCTCCTCTTCCTCCTCCCCATCTTTTCTCACCCGCCACCCCTCCCTCCTACATAACCACAAAGCCTGAGGCAACAACCACAACATTTGGCCGAGGGGCAGCAGCTTTCCTTTATCACACGCCCCCCCCCCCAACTCTTTGTACTGACCCAATTCCGTGGGATCTCAAGAATCCCCACCCCCGTTGACAGCCCATGGAGGGGTGTGTGTGTGTGGGGGGGGGGGGGGAAAGGGGGCCACACCTCAAGCACACCTTGAAACAATGTTCCCCCTCAGCTCGGCCCCTCCCACGGTTTTTGCATGCAATGCACGTGGCACCCCCGCCTGTCCCCTCAAATGGCCATCAGTGGGACGCAGCCCACCCCCACCCCTCCCTCGTGGCACACCATGGGCGCCACGAACGTCCAGCGATTGCTTTCCGGGTCGTACATTTCTACCGAGCTGAGGTTGGACTGTCCGTCGTAGCCGCCCACGGCGTACAAGCGGCCGCCGGTGGTGACCAGGGAGACGCGGCTACGCCGGGTGTTCATGGGCACCAGAAGGTACCACTGATCGGAGGCCGAATTGTAGACCTCGGCGACACTGAGGAAGGCTGAGCCGTCGTAGCCGCCGCAGACGAAGAGTTTGCTGCCCAGGGAGGCCGCCCCGTGCCGACAACGCTTGTTCGACATGCTGGCCACGCTGTGCCACGAGGCGGTGTGGGGGTTGTAGTATTCCACCTGGAGGCAGGGACAAAACCACGCGTCAGCAGATGGGCAGATGGACGGGGCAGAGGTCAGGGAGGGGATCGACTTCCAGAAAGGACACGCGGCTATTTGGAGAGGCAACAAGGCCTCAGAGGCAGATTTGAAAGAGAAAGAGAGAGAAAGAGAGAGATCGAATTCTTCAGGCATTTATACCCTGACTTTGTTATTAATAAATAATTGGGAATGGCGAGCATCTTATAATTTATGGAGCCTTTTGTCTCCTATTTTCCCTAAAACAACAACCCTGCGAGTTGACGGGCTGTCTCAGCCCAACCCAGCTAGCTTACGTGTCAAAGGTATTCCCAGTCGCCAGGTAATTGGCCCAACTGGATTTCGTGGCTAACGTAGGACTAGAATTCACTTTCTCCTGGGGATTGGCCTGAAGTCACCCAGTGGCTTTTATGCCTAAAGTGGGATTAGAACTCACCGTCTCCCGTGACTGGCCCAAAGTCACCCAGCCGGCTTTCATACCTAAAACAGGACTAGAACTCACCGTCTCCTGCTGATTGGCCCAAAGTCACTCAGCGGCTTTCGCGCCTAAGGCGAGACTAGAAATCCCCCGTTTATAACTAACCCCTAAATAAACAGTAAATAACAAAATAATAAGTTACACTGCTTGAAAAAAAATAATAATAAGTTAACAGCTTCAGAGTTCTGCTCCAGTTCTTCCTTTGGAGAAATGCTGGTTTTTAACCGAATAACTGAATCGGAAGGGACCTTGGAGGACATCTAGTCCAACCCCCTGCTCAGGAGGAGACCTTGTCCCATGTCAGACGAACGGATGTCAAATCTCTTCCTAAAAATCTCCAATGTTGGCGCATTCACAACTTCTGGAGGCACTGGTTATTAGGGACGGGCCAGAAATAAACTACAGTCCAAAAAAAACCAGACTTACGCTATTGAAGATTTGCAAGCCATCATGTCCGCCGGAGACGAAGATGCGGCCTTCGAAGACCGTGACGCCGGCCGCGCTGCGATTGGAGCTCATAGGTGTCACCGACGTCCACCTTCACAAGGTCAGCAAAGGAGAGGGGGAAGTTGCGGTAGTGGCACACACATCTCTCAAATGGCATTCAGGGATACTCACTTGTCTGTCTCGGGCGAGTAGGCCTCCACCGAGTTCAGGGAGGAGGTTCCGTCGTAGCCCCCACAAACATAGATCTGTCCGTCCAGGACTACAGTTCCCATCGCACTGAAACGGGGCAGAAACCGGAGATTTCAGAATGACCAACTTTAATAGCACACTTTAAAGAACTGTGGCTCAACCATCGTGTCTTTAAGAGGGGAGCACTACAACTCCCAGAATCCCCCAGCCAGCATGCTTTAAGAGGGGAGCACTACAACTCCCAGAATCCCCCAGCCAGCATGCTTTAAGAGGGGAGCACTACAACTCCCAGAATCCCCCAGCCAGCATGCTTTAAGAGGGGAGCACTACAACTCCCAGAATCCCCCAGTCAGGATGCTTTAAGAGGGAGCACTACAACTCCCAGAATCCCCCAGCCAGCATGCTTTAAGAGGGGAGCACTACAACTCCCAGAATCCCCAGCCAGCATGCTTCAAGAGGAGAGCACTACAACTCCCAGAATCCCCCAGCCAGCATGCTTTAAGAGGAGAGAACTACAACTCCCAGAATCCCCCAGCCAGCGTGGTTGGGGACCCTTCCTGACCAGTGGGAAGCCCACCCCACACGCACCTCCGTTTGCTGTTCATGCTGCCCGCTCTGGACCACGAATCGGTCTCGGGGTTGTACACCTCCACGGTGCTCAGCCGCCACTGCCCGTCGTATCCGCCAATGGCGTACAAGAGCCCATTCACCACGGCCACGCCCACCCGGCTGCGGGCCGTGGTCATTGGCTGGCACTTCTCCCAGTGGTTGGCTACGGGGTCGAAGACTTCCACCACGTTCAGAGAGTCGCCTGCGTAGAAATTTGCTGCTGACATTTTAAAAAGCGATCGGCAAAACTGACCGTTTGCGTGCGGCCACTCTTAACTCTCTAAACTAAGAATGCGTTACAGGTAGTCCTCGACTTACGACCATAACCGATTCCAAAGATTTTCACTGTTGAGCAAGACAGCTAAGTGAGTTGTCTCATTTTACGAATTTTCTTGCCTTAGTTGTTAAGTGAATCACTGCGGTTGTTAATTTAGTACAGGCATGAAAGCCGGCTGGGTGACTTGGGGCCAATCACCAGGAGACGGTGAGTTCTAGTCCTAAGTTTTTGCCCAAAACCCAACATTTAATTCCAGGTCTTGTCAAAAACACAAAAACGATCCATTAAAGTTTCTTCGATTACTGCAGCATTCACTTCATTACAGCAGATTCACTCAACAGTCATGGTGACTCACTTAGTGACCGCTGCATTTAAAAAAAAAAAAATTATAACAACTCGGATCGATTCAGGGAGGAGCTGCTTTAGGGACGTCATGATAAAAGTTTTTTAATGGTCGTAAATTGAGGATCACCTGTCTGGACCTCGAGTGGTGACGGAATTGAAATTTACCTGCTGAATTGAGCCCTCCCACGGCGTAAATCAAACCCGCGATGGACGTACAGCAACGGGGCCGCGTCTTGAAAGCGAGGAGAGGTCGCCGACGCTCGGGCATGAGGTGGTAGTCTTTGGCTTCATCCACGAGGTCCCTAAAGCAGAATAACAGTTGGAAGGGACCTCGGAGGTCATCTAGTCCAGCCCCCTGCCCAAGCAAAAAGACCCTTACAGAATCATAGAATGTTAGAGATGGAAGGGACCTCAGAGGTCATCTAGTCCAACCCCGCTGCTCGAGCAAGAGACCCTACCCCATTTCAGACAACTGGCTGTCCAATGTTTTTCTTGACAACCTTCAGTGACGGAGCCACTGAAAAAAGCTGAGCCAAACTGAGGAATACAATTCTTGTGCTGCCTTTCACAAAACCTTATACTCAGGGGGAACCCTTGAGATCATCAAGGCCAGCCTTCATTCCGTGCAGAAATAGGATTAAAACACCCACGATTACGGGTGCCTCCTGATTTAAAATCAAGAGATGCCAATTTAGAAAGACCAGCCTTTAATTCGATACGAAATGATTGTCTTTTTTATATTTGCATTTCTGTGTGCGAATATACCATAGACTACGTAGTAAACCTACATACTATGTAGTATATACTATACTGTATAACATATACAAAATGTTTCCGTCTTCCGTATTCTTCGCCTTGAAATAATTTCTTAAAAGCATCCAGATCGTGCTCTGTTTTGCATTTTTAAAGATTGTTGGCTTTATTACGGAGGGATTTTATTTATTTATGGATTTTATTTATTTTGTTGTCAGAAGGAAGCGCGGTGGTGAATAATAATAAGAACCAGATTGCCATAAGGAGCACAGCAGGAGCGAGTAACGCCGAATGCTGAATACATTAGCTTTTTAAATCAAAGCAACTGAATTATTTATCCCCTGTTAATAATTGCGAGATTTCCAGCAGAGCGCTACGGGAAATTTCACCGAGAGACCGAAAGGGAAACTGAGGCGCCCGATTCCTGCTGGATGAACCACAGAACCCTCAAAGCAAATGAAAGGCCAAGAGGTTTGCAAAACGGAAAGAAATCCGTTCGCGTTCCCATCAGTTTCGTTTTCAGAATTGCACCCGGTTGTAAAAAGCCTAATACTAAATAGATGCAAACCTGGAGTTATTTGTAAAAAATACAGGTTAGTCCTGGACTTACGACCACCATGGAGCCCAAAATTTCCATTGCTAAGCCAGACGGCTGTGAAGTGAGTTTTGCCCCCAATATGCAACCTTCCTCGCCACAGTTGTTAAGCGAATTACAACAACCATTAAGTTAGTGACACGGTTGTTAAGTGAATCTGGGTTCCCCTTTGATTTTGCTTGTCAGGTGGTCGCAAAAGGGGATCATGTGACACCCCCGGGACACGGCGACCGTTCGAAGTTACAACAGCCGTAAAAAAAAATGTGATTTATGAACATTTTGCAGATTTATGACTGTCGCAGCATCCCTGTGGCCACCTGATCAAAACTCAAGACGCTTGGCCACTGACTTGTACTTATGACGGTCGCAGTGTCCCCGGGGGGGGGTGTCACACGATCCCCTTTTGTGACCTTCTGATGAGCAAAGTCATGGGGGAAACCCAGATTCACTTAACAACCATGTGACTAACTCAACCAACTGCAGGGATTCACTTCACAAGAGTTATGGCCAGAAAGGTCATAAAATGAGGCAAAACTCAAATAGCAACTTTCTTCCTCAGTGACGGAAATTTGTGGTCATAAGTCAAGGACTACTTGTATGCTGTACTTGGCAGAATAGTAGCACAACCATAAGATCCTTCCTTCCCTCCCTCCCCTCCTTTTCTACTTTCTCCTCTCCCTCCCTCCCTTCATCTTCCTGCTCTCCCTCCCTTTAACCCTCCTGCTTTCCTTTCCTTCTTCCCTCTTCTTTTTCCTCCCTCCCTTCCCTCCCTCCGTCATCCCTCTTCCTTCCTATCTTCCTTTCTCCTCTCCCTCCCTCCCTTTTCTTCACCCTCATGCTCTACCTCCCTCTTTCTTTTAACTCTCCTGCTTTCCTTTCCTTCTTCCTCATTTTTGCTCCCTTCCTTCCTTCCCTCCCTCCATTATCCCTTCCTTCCTATCTTCCTTTCTCCTCTCCCTCCCTCCCTCTCTTTCATCACCCTCCTGCTTTCCTCTCCTTCTTCCCTTTTTTCTCCCTTGCTCCCTTCCTTCCCTCCCTCTTCCTTCCTATCTTCCTTTCTCCTCTCTCCCTCCCTCCCTCTTCTTTGCTCTCCCTCCCTCCTTTCCTCTCCTCCTCCTCTTTTTCCTCCCTTCCTTCCCTCCCTCCATCATCCCCCTTCCTTCCTATCTCCCTGCCTCCTTTCCTCCCTTTCTCCCTCCCTCCCTTCACGTAACTGCCCATCTCACATTGTGACCAGTGTACCACAAAACTCGAGGCAAACTCCTGTTTGTGTGAGTGAGTGAGTGTGTGTTTGTGTGTTTGTGTGTTCTGAAGCCCTCCAACCAGATCTTTCCTTCTCCTCCTTCCTCCACCTTCTCCCTCTCAGCTCACCTGCACTTGTGGCAGCTGCGGACGAGGTCATCTTGCTGCACACGGTCAGTCAGGAACTGTGGCCGGCAGAGGGGCAGCCGGATTCTGGACAGGAGCTCCGGCAGGCAGGCCTCCCGCTGTTCACGGTCGTACCTGACCCAGGCCAGGGCGGCTTCGTAGACCTGGCAGGAGAGAGACAGAAGAGAGAGAGCGGGGAGCTCATCATACAGGTGAGCAGCTTCCCGGACAGGGAATGCTCTGCGCAGGAACCCCGGACGCCCCCCCCCCAGTTTTGATCTCAGCACAGGTTAGTCCTCGTCTTACGACCACGATTCAGACCAAAATTTATGTCGCTCAGGGAAACGTGTGTTACGTGAGGTTTTTTTGCCAACTTTCTTGCTGCAGTTGTTAAGTGGATCACGGGGGTTGTTAAGTGAACAGCCTGGTTGTTAAGTGAATCTGGCTTCCCCGTTGACATTGCTTGTCAGGAGGTCGCAAAGGGGGAATCACGTGACCCCAGCACACTGCGGCCGCCGTAAATATGAGCCAGTTGCCAAGCATTCTTAATTTTGATCATGTGACCATAGCGATGCTGTAATGGTCATAAGTGTGAAAAATGGTCGTAACTTTTTTCAGCGCCGGTGTAACTTTGAATGGCCACTAAATGAACTGTTGTAAATCGAGACTATCTGTACAGTATGTATGCCTGTCTTGCCACCTCCATGGTCCCGTCGTAAAACACAGGTAGTCCTCGACTTACAACAGTTCGTTTAGTGGCCATTCAAAGTTACAACAGCACTGAAAAAATTTACAACGGTCGTTTTTTTCACACTTACGATGAGTTTTACCTTCCTTTCCTGGTGCATATAATTAATTATCGCACAACACCTTGGGTCCTCCTTCTGTTTTCCCACCATCTGGACTTAATCCAAGGTTTATAAAAGCAATTAGGAATCAGTTCCTCTTTGATTTCCTGCTGGCTTTGTTTCTTCTCCTTTCCCTTCTTCTTCTCCAAAATCCAGGTAGTCCTTGACTTACAACCTCAACGCAGCCCGAAATTTCTGTTGCTGAGCAACACACCTGTTCAGTGAGTTTTGCCTCAGTTTACGACCTTTCAGGTCACGGCTGTTAAGGGAATCGCTATGGTTGTTGAGTTAGTCATGTGGTCACTAAGTGAATTGGGACTCCTGCTTTTCATAAATATGAGTCAGTTCCAAGCGCCTGAATTTTGAGAACGTGACCACGGGGGGTGCAACAACGGTCATAAGTGTGAGAAAGGGTCCTAAGTTACATTTTTTCAGTGCTGCCGCTGTTGTAACTTCGGTCACTAAATGAGGGGTTGTAAGTTGAGGACTAAATGCAAATCTTGTGCCAGGGGCATTCTGATGTCCTCAGGAATCCTGACTTTTCCAGAACCTCTGAAAATGGACTTCAACAGATCCTCCAGATCTGTTTGTCAACCGAGGTCCCTTTAAGAAATCAGGACTTCAACTCCCAGGATTCCCCAGCTGGCATCCTTTATACTGAATGTGGAATTCTGGGAGTTGAAGTCCTGACTTCTTAAAGGGACCACGGTCGACAAACACTCATCTAGATCTTTTGTGATCCTGTTGATTCCCAAGATGAGAAGTGAGTTACACTTCTGTCCGGTGCCTATTAGCTTCTGAGGCTTCTTTAACCGACAGGAAGTCCTCGACTTACGACCACAATCGATCCCAGCGCTTCCGTTACAAAGAGAAGACAGTGGTTAAGTGCCTTATTTGACCACCTTTCTCGTCACAGTCGTTGAGTGAATCGCTGCAGTCGTTAAACGTTAAGTCACATGGCGGTTAAGTGAATCCGGCTCCCTCACTGACTTTGCTTGGTCAAGATGATCGCATGATTCCCCGGGATGCTGCGATGGTCATAAATACGTGTCAGTTTGCCAATCGTCTGAATTTTAATCACGTGACAGCGGGAAATGCCGCGTTGGTCATAAGTGTGAAAAAACTGGCCCTAAGTCCCTTTTTCCAGTGCCGTTGTAACTTTGACTGGCCGCTCGAGGAATGGTTGTGAATCAAGGACTGCCTGTAGTTATAGTTAGTTGCGTAGTTTGAGGGGTCTCCAACCTTGGCAACTTTAAGCCTGGAGGACTTCAACTCCCAGAATCCCCCAGCTTTGCTGGCTGGGGGATTCTGGGAGTTGAAGTCCTCCAGGCTTAAAGTTGCCAAGGTTGGAGACCCCTGGTGTAGTTGGCTTTAAAAAAAAAAAAAACAAGTGGTGGGGAGGAACGAAAACCCGAAGCGTATTTCAGGGTCTGGGAGGGTCTCACCTGCTCCTCCAACTTCACGTGGAGTTCATCCCTGGAGGTCAGCTCCAGGACATCGGGGGGGGGGGGGGGAGGAGGAGGAGGAGGAGGAGGAGGAGGAGGAATGTAGCAGTGGATACATTAAAACTGCCCCACATTTCTCTCCAATTTCGAACCACTGACCTTTTGCATGTCAGACAAACGTTATAACCGCTAGGTTTTTTTGGAAGGGCCAGTGGATAATAAAAGTGCAAAGTAGGAAGTGAAACACAGCAAGCAATTAAATCAACACAACCCGGAAAGCCCTATTTTTAGCACAGAGGAGGAAAACATTATAACAGACTATCTATCTATCTATCTATCTATCTATCATCTACCTACCTACCTACGTACCTACCTCTACCTCTATCTCTCTATCTCTCTATCTCTCTATTTACTTATAATTATCTGTCTACCTGTCTCTCTATCAACTATGTATCATCCATCCATCTATCTATCTATCTATCTATCTATCTATCTATCTATCTATCTATCTATCTATCTCTCATCTACCTACCTACCTACCTCTCTCTCAATCTATCTATCTATCTACTTATAAGTATCTACTTATAATTATCTTACATTACAGAGCCTTGGTGGTGCAGCAGACTAAAGTGCTGTCTATTTCCAATAGCCTCACCAAGGACCCCTGGAGAACTCAGTCCACAGAATGCAGCTGAGAACACGGCCACAGGAAGAATAAACTGACTCTCTGCAATGCTAGGGGAAAAAAAATTACCCCAATGACAAAGCAGCCATCTTCCTAATCACCATGGGAAGGAAAAGAGGCGAGAACATCAGGCCTTCTCGAAAGACATGTGCAGCCTCTCGAAAGAAACTCGTCTCTGCATTCTGCTGGGATCGAATTTTCACAAGTCCACCGGTCCCCAGAGGTGGAGAGCTTGCAGACAAAGTTCCTGCTGACATTCAGAGCTACCAGCGAGGCCCATCTTTTGATTTAGACTTTTGCACGGAAGACCAAAGTAGGCTGAGCAATCCCTAATAAGGAAAGCATGCTGAAGACCATCCAAAGCTTGATATTTGTAAAGTTGTTTTGCAGCCACCATTTCCTGGCCTCCTCTGCTTCCTGCCTGCAGATCTGAGGTACAGGCAGCTTGTCAACTGTTCAAAGAGGAATGACAGTGACAGATTTTCCAGAGGGAAAGGCACCATCAGGAACCGAGCAACAATTTCAATCCCACGTTGGAGCGATATCAAATATCTGATTTTTGTCCCTCAACTTTGCCAGGCTTGCGTGCATGAAGTCTGGAGTTGTATCTCAGCTGACGAACAAAGACTTTCTGAAATTCACGATTATTCTAACCTAAATAATCATGTTATCCACACTTCAAAAATAGCCTGAAAAAAATCAGGTTGGACATCTCCGCTCTCCTTCGTTAAAGAGAAGCTGGCGTTCTCCAGCTGTAATAATGGAAAAAAATATATATGTAAGATTAGTATTACAGTCGTGGCCAAAATTGTGGAAACCTTTTTGGAAAAGTGTATTTTCTAAAGCTAGCTAATAACACCACTTTTTTTTTTGGAGTACTACCATAAAATTATATATCAATGGAAAGATAATTTAATCAAGAACGTAATGCAATAACTTTTATGAAGGATTTGCTATTAGAAGAGCAGTTACAGTATAAAGAAGAAAAGTGAAAGAAGCAGAAAAAACAAGATATACAAAAATTATCTCCGTAGAAAAAAATGAGATATGCAAAAATGATCACCATGTCAGTTAATAGCTGGGTAACCTTTAGCATGAATGACGGCCTTATAACGTCTTCTCATGGAGTGAACCAAGTCTTTGAGTTCTGCAGCTGTTCTAATGTGAAACCAAGATTGAATGATGGCTTCTATTAACTAGGTTTTATTGCTGGGTCGCTTCTGACTAACCAAGTTTCTTTAGTCGGCTCCATAGATTTTCAATGGGGTTAAGGTCTGAGCTATTCCCAGGCCATTCCAGCAGTGAAATAGGATTATCTTGAAACTCCAAAAAAAAAAAAGTGGTGTTATTAGCCATCAAATCTCAAAAATGCACTTTTCCCAAAAGGTTTCCACAATTTTGGCCACGACTGTAGCTTTCACGAGAGGAATCCTGAAATATGTGGAAGGCTGGGCACATGCGGGGACATGAGCGTGCTCACATTTGCGAACCAGTAGGGAAAGTAAGTAGGAGCCTGAGTGACGTAGGAGGCTAATGCCTCCTAAGGCAGCATTTAACATCCAGCTGCCTGCAATTACTGCAAGTTCAATTCTCACCAAGCACAAGGTCGACTCAGCCTTCCATCCTTTCTAAAGTGGGTAAAATGAGGACCCAGTTTGTGGGGGGCAATAAGCTGACTTTGTATAAAAATATACAAAAGGATGAAGGCTATTGCTTAACACATTGTAAGCCGCCCTGAGTCTCCCGAGAAGGGCGGCATATAAATCAAATAAATAAATAAATAAATAAAAAAGTAAGTGAATACCACTCTTGCTCCACATCTTCTGATCTTGCACTACTTCTCTGAGTTCTGCTTCTAGAGAAAAGAAGGAGTGGGAGGGGGGGACACGATAGCAGTATTCCAGTATTTGAACAGATACCACAAAGAAGAGGGGGTCAATTTATTTTCCAAAGCACCAGAGGGCAGGACAAGAAACAACGGATGGAAACTAATCAAGGAGAGAAGCAACCTGGAATTGAGGAGAAACTTCCTAACAGTGAGGACAGTTAACCAATGAAACAGCTTGCCTCCAGAAGTCGTGGGTGCTCCATCACTGGCGGTTTTTAAGAAGAGACTGGACAGTCACTTGTCTGAAATGGTATACGGTCTCCTGCTTGAGCAGGGGGCTGGACTAGAAGACCTACAAGGTCCCTTTCTGCTTTATTCTGATTCTGAGTTCTTCTGTGCTCTGACTGGTGTCAGCTTTGATGGTGTCCAAACACCGTGTTCTTTGACAGTCTGGTTTCCTTTTGCAGCTAACTCTTTCTAAAGTAATTGCTTTCTCTAGTGAATTCCTCCACATGAGATGGCCAAAATAAGTCATGTTGTGGCTCCGTTGCCTGAGCCTGGGCTATCAACAGATGCAGACTCTGTGAGTGAGGGAGAGGAGTTGGCAAGGCCTCCCTCTCCAGGACCCTCCTCTCTGGCAATGCCTCCGGAGGACACCGAAGGCCAAGAGATAGGCCCAGAGCCAAGCACATCCCCGCAGCCACAGGTGGACAGCGACGAAGGAGAGAAGTGCTGGCTGGATCCTCGGCAGAGGCGCAGGGAGAAGCGTGTGCAGCAGAGGGGAAGGTGTGCCAGAGATTAGCTGAGTCACTGGACCACACCCCACAGGGTATAAATGTGGGTGTGGTGTCCGGTTCAGTTTGTGATGAGCAAAAACTAGAAATAATCCATGATCTCTGCGTTACTGGACTTCTGCCTGCCTTGTCAGACTGCATTTGGACTAATCCTTGTATTGCAGAAACTTTGCCTGCTTTATCGGAATGCTTGCAGTCTAATCTTTGTTTTATGTGAGTAAAGTCTGAATTGGCAGCTAGCCACTGGGTTGCTGTCAGCTTTATCTTCAAAGATTTTGTCGTGTGGCTTATTAACGCCAGGCCGTCTGTGGGGGTGCGTGTGTGGGACGGGGACAGAACAAGTCAGTTGCAGTTTCGTGATTTTGCCTTCTAGTGACATGTCTTGTGGTATGTGCTCTGGTATTTGCTTGTTACTCAGCTTTGCTGTCCAAGGAATATGCAGGAACCTTCACCAGCACCACAGCTCAAATAAGTTGATTTTCTTCCTGTCTCGCCTTTTTTTAAGGTCCAGCTTTCACAACCATAGGTAGCTACGGGGAAAAGTGAACAAGCAGCTTGTCAGCATTCCAGAAAACCCCCCCAGTTCCAAGTAAAGACTCTGAAACAAGCATTTTTCAAAGTTCTATTTACTAGAATAGGTAAACTAGCACATCTGGGAAAACCTGAATCTGAGAGGTCCAGGTTTTCCCTCAGTAAGTCAAAACCCCCAAAACCATCCCCTCACTCCTCAGTCGATCACATGCTCCAATCACTGTCAGATATTGCCTGCATATGATGCACCAGAGACTAGAAGGGGTTAAGTCTTTACAGACATCACATGTGACTATATCAGCCAATGAACTCTCTTATTGGACTCTTACCTGGAAACCATTTGGATATCTTCCCCTTTTTTTTCGAAGTAAAGACTCTGAAGCAAGCATTTTTCAAAGTTCTATTTACTAGAATAGGTAAACTAGCACATCTGGGAAAACCCGAATCTGAAAGGTCTGGGTTTTTCCTCAGTAAATCAAAACCCCCCCAAACCATCCCCTCACTCCTCAGTTGATCACATGCTCCAATCACCATCCGCCCCATCTCGAGACATCACTCCGACCACTCCTTCTCCAGATGCAGGATCGGCTTGACCTTGACCGACAGGAAGAATGCTAATATATCTAAAGACAACCCCTCTACTAAATCCCCCCTCCTATTTTCCCACACATGAGAAGGTGGCAGCATGGAAGCTTCCAGCCTAATATGGCTTCCAAAGCTGACACAACTAAGCTTTTAAAAAAGAGTTAAAAGGTAACAGTTTCCCTGACACCCTAAGTACGGTGCTCATCTCCATTTCTTGGTTGAGGGAGCCAGCATTCTGCAAAAATATTTTCCGTGGTCCTGTGACCAGCATGGTTATATACCAAAGGCGCATGAAACACTGTTATTTTCCCACTGAAGTGCTACCTATTAATCTACTTGCATTTGCATGCTTTTGAATTGCTAGGTAGTGTTGTGGTCTGCCAGCAGCCTGTAGAGCTAGCAGTGGAGTCTGACAGTGAGGAGGCTGGGGAGGAACATGGGCCAGTCCTGGAGTCTGGGGAAGGCCAGGACAAGAGCTCTGCGTCAGAGGCAGAAAAGTGGCCAGGGCCATCAGGGAGAGATGCGCGGACTCCGGAGCCCCCAGAGTCAGACAGCAGAGAGGCAGAGGAACAGGAGGAGCCTAGTGCATGCATGCGCAAAGCTGCCAGAAGGAAAGAGCAGCTAAAGCAAAAGG